AATCTCTGAATCAGCCTGTAGTTACTGGGACTCATTAATAAATACATTTAGCTAAGAATAGCTCGACTATGCCGGGAAGCACGCGTTGGCAAGCAGAGAAACAAGAATCGTACACCCAGAAAATATGCCACGTTAAACTGATTTCACAAGTTTCTGGCAGAGAGATGTCAGTCATGATGTTACTACAACAAAAACAGACCCCAAATCTACAAATGTGAAGACATCTATCAAAAGGATAGAGCGCAAAATAAAAGGCTGAGTCCTAATGAAATACAATCGTCCAACTGCTATTTTGTGTGCGAACTGGAAATCATCTCTCCTTTTCCAAACTGCGAGGCATTATTGAAACTATCGCAGATAACAGAAGAAAACTACTTATGAAAAGAAATGTGGTAAACTGTTTGAAGTATGGTATTTTCTAAGGATTGCCGGACATCAAAATGTAGAAGTGCGACATGCACACAACACTCTACTTCACAAAGATGGTTATTACTGTGAGCACGCGGAAAGAAAACCAGCCAGTTTCGGCAGCCAACTCCTCAAGCTCAAAACTCTGGGAGCCACTCAGATCCCAACGACTAAATGTAGCTTTGGCCAGAAAGACAAAATCTCCAAATTGTTACTTTCGACGCGCTCGTCTAGCAGAAGACAATCAAGGAAGAAAGTCAAATGATCGAGCGTTATTGGACCCAGAAGGCCACAGTTAAATTTAAAACAACAAAACTTAAGCAAAAAATTAAATTAAAACACACAAATCAGAAGCTACAGTTCAGCGGAGTTCAGTTGTATCCAAGCGAAGCGAAAGGAAGTCGACCAAATACGCATTTCCTCAATACAGAAACCCGTTCGAGGTTAGAATTGGAATGTCTTGTGGTACCTTCGATTAACGGAACAATTTACCTCAATCAAGGTCAACGTCGACGAAGTACTTGGTGCCAAGTTCATATCAACTTGCAGACCATACTTTCCAATGAGCCAGGAGATATTGACTTCTGCTTGACGTAGGTTTTTACTGGAAAATCGTTGTTGGCCGAACCTAAGGAATCACTCGATGGTCAGCCACGCTCTACAAAACACGAACTAGGGTGATTCTTTTGCGAGTGAAAAGTACAGAGCAAAGGCAAATGCGAAAAAGCCACGTGTCTGACAGTCACCAATTATTCAATTTTCACAGCAATAGAAAGGTTCTGGAAACAAGAGGCTTATACCAGAAATAAATATCAGGACAAAAGAAGAACAACTTGTGAGAAACTGTTTGCCAGATAACCACAACCAGAGATTCAACAGTAGATTCATTGTTCAGGTTGCCAAACGACCTGAGGTAGTTCTGGGTGAATCCAAAGAAACAAGCCAAGAGGAGACTTGAAGGACTTCGAGCGAAAAATTTAATCAGACAGCCAACTCTAAAACAAGCATATTGCGAGTTTATGGTGGGATACGTATGAGCAGCTCGGTCACATGTCGCTTATCGAAGACACACCACCGGAAACATGAGAGGCTTATTTCATACCTCATCACGCAGTTTTACGCCCGGGACGCCAGCAGCACGAAGCTGAGAGTAGTGTTTGCCATGCGTCAGCGGCAACCACAAAACGGAAAAATCATTGAACAATAAATTAATGACTGCGTCCAAATTGCAAGCGGAGTTGAGTCAAATCATGATTCGATTTTACTCACAAATATGTCATCACACAGACATCGAGAAGAATGTTCAGGCAGATTACCAGTACATCCTGAAAGACAGACACTGCAACAGATTTTGTGGAGAAGAGACGCTCAAAATATGCCCCATAAAAAACATATCAGTTAATACGATTACTTATGGCACGGTGTCTAGCTCCGTTTCATCGATGAGGCTGTCTGCGAGAACTTGCTTACTGTATACGATCAGCAGTATCCTTAGCAGCAAAGGCGATATGTCAGGACTTTTACATGGATGGATTGTATCACGGGGCCGAGACCATAGGACACATGTGATGCAGATGCAAGAAGAGCTTATTGCAGTTACTCGAGAGAGGAAAACATGGTATTCGTAATGGAGGTCCAATGACAAACGGATTCTACAAAAACTTAAAAATTCAACCCAAAACACCCACGACTTGGATGATAGTGGACAAAGTAGAGCCTGTAAGACATTTGGACGAGTATTTACGCTCATTGGCCACTGTTAAACAAGCTGACAATTACTCGAAAATGTGCATCCCACATAACCCAAGGAATTCAGGTTCGATGTCTACGCATTCTGTTGCATTGCTTCTGAGAAAGCATTGGAGCTTGCATGTTACGCTGTTAGCAAAAATCATGATGGAGTTGTTACCTCCAGATTGATTAGTTTCAAAATCGGCAGTCGCTCCCAACAGAACCATATCTTTACTCGATTAGAATTAGAAGGAGCACTTCTTTCTTCGCAAAACTTCTGAGAGACGCGTAATGGGACGAAATCTCACACCGCAAATAAAGAATACCTTCCTTTGGGAGTGATAGCACAATAGTTGTTGGGTTGGATCAAGACTGAACCCGACTACTGAAGTCATACGTTGCGAATAGCAGTTACCAAAATCAGGATGCAATGAGCATGCAACTGGGGACCACGTCCCTTCGAAAGACAAACCAGCAGACCTTATATCTCGTGGAATTTCGCCAGAAGAGGATTGAACACAAGAGCTTTGGTGGTCCGGACCTGAGTGGCTAGCTACAGCAACCACACGTTCCAAGTTCTTCAATGGAAACCAGAACCGATCTCCAGAGCTAAGAATTTAAGGACACCCGTAATCCATAAACGAATACTTCTCTGGATTTTGCATAAATATTCCTCGTTTTCAAATTACGTCGGTTGATTGCTTAACTGGCATAGCGTATCTTGGAAATATCAATCCAGAATACATGTGAAGACTGAAAGATGGCACCGAAAGAAACAATGACTGGCTACTTAAAGCCGAGGAACGCGTCAAGCAGAAACTAGCATCATTCGATGGAGACTCAGATGGACAGCATTATCCTCATTTCGAAGAATTTGATTAAGAAAGAAAAAGCAACCTTAAGGGCAGCCCACCCTAAAATCAACTCGATGCCTTCGTCGATGAAAGACGGATTGATTACGGAGTCGGCGGAAGACTGAAAATATTCATCACTCACGGAAGAGCAGAAATATTCCTTATCATTTTGCCAGCCAATCATCAGTATCACAACATCAATTATTGAAGAGAGAGCACGTTCGACTGCACCATTGTCCACCGGAGCAACTTTTGGCATGCCATTCGTCAGAGGTATTGGGCCGATTGCTGGTCGAAAGAGGAAGCTCAGAAAATTGTTTCGAAGATGTGAACTGCTTTCGTTTCAACCCTTCCATTCCGGAAAGTTCGTATGGGCGATTTACCAAAAGAAAGCGTCACTTAGCGTCACCAGACCTTTTACTGTAACAGGGGTGGATTAACGCTGGCCGTTCAACTTCGAGGGAGAGTAAGCGGAGAGCAGGCTTCATATTTTTCAAATGCCTACGTAGCAGTTTTCACCTGCCTTCAGCCCACAAGGCTGCTGCCTAGAGCTTGTCTCGGACCTACCACTGAAAGTCTTTTTGCAGCCTTGCAGCGATTTACCGCCACCGTAGAGGAATCTGCTCGCAGATGTGTTTTCTGACAATGGAAGAATTTCGTTGGCGCTGCGAATGCGTTAAAGAGCTGAATTCATTCCTCACGAGGGAGTCATCAGACATCTCTTCACACTTAGCAGAGCAACCGATATGCCTGGGAAAAATTCATTCCTCCTCGATCCGCCACATTTTGGGAGGATTGTGGGAGGCGGTGGCTAACAATATGAGCGACATTTGTACACAGTTTCTCAGGGACGCCTATTCACCTTCAAGAACTATCTACTTCTTTGCGACATTGATGGCAATCCTGAATTCGCGACCCCTGACCCCCACTCATAGCGATCCAAATGATTTGAGTGTCTCACCCCGCCCATTTCCTAATTGGCGACTCACTAGTTCAACCCATGCAGTCCAAGTCATATCACATGAACCCGACAATCATTTGTCAAAGTGGCAGCACCTGGAAAAGGTTCGTCAGACCTGTGGGCAGAGCGATGGCAGCTGAAGAGTATTCTACAGAAGCTGCAGCGAAGAACCGAAATGGAATACGACAGATCAACGCGTCAGTTTAGGCAATTTGGTTTCTCTTATCGAAGAATGGAGTACCCGCCTTTGAAGTGGTCACGAGGCGGTGATCAACTACATCCCGGCACAAGACGGTGAAGTTCGAGTTGTCACAGTAAAACCCTTGAGGTGTATTTACAAGGAGCGGAAAAGGCTGTGGTCTACTGCCAATTGACGATTAAGATTGTACTCAACGAAAATATTAAATGCATTTATGTTAAAGGTATTTGTTTTCTTGGTTTTGAAAGCACACCTTCAAGGAGTGGCCAGAATAATTGTTCAGTAATATAGAGTATGTTTGATATTTATGTTGGTATTATACTGTAAAACTGAATCCAACAGCGCCATCTGTGGCGAAGTGGCTTGGGTTCCGAGTTCAGATTGAGTGATAAGTGAAGTGCGTTTCAATGTAAGAACATCTAGCAATAAGATCAATATTTAAGCAAAAGGCAGTTTTATGTTTCATTTCAAGCATCATCATTCACAAAGGCTTTTTTTCTGCTTTTTGCTGAGAAGGATATATTATTTATTATTATTAGCAAGATTACTACAAAATCAAATTTGTAGTTTTTTTACTGATACCAGCAGGGTTTCTATTACTTGTGAGAGAGAACTTCTTTGCAAATGATGATTTGATTTGATTTATTTTTATTATTCTTAACTTGATTGGCCACATTGGACCACTTGAGTCGTTCCACTTCACTTATGGTCGACTGTCGAAGGTATCACCTTGAGGTGAGGATAAATCCTCGAGTTACAATTCTGAATGTTATTCAGAAAGGTGATAATAAGAGATGGAGGATGATGGATGATAGGGGGTGAAAGGACGAACACAATACAACCATGCCCGAGGCGGAACTCAAACCCGCAATCTTTCGGTACGAGATCGCTACGGCACTACTGCCTTAGCGATCTCGGCCACCGGATCAGCTTGATTTATTTTTATTAATAAAGCAGAAAAAAAACTTTAAGTGACATCTTGGTGAGAAGAATAAGTTGAATGTGTACCTTTATTCAACCAAGTAGAGCAAAAGAGAAAGGAAGGAATACACACATACTTCTTTTCTGTGTGTAACATGCAGATTTTACTGTTTTTGATAATAAATAAATGAAAAGATCAAACACTTCTTCCTCAATGCTGATGAATATTTCACTTCCTGTAGTGGGTGACTGTCTTAGAACCGAATTGATGAAGACACCTGAGAACAGTTCTGGTATAGAGTTCTCATAATAATTTGAATTTCAGCACTATTCATCATATTTAAAAAAAAAAAAAATTATACTTTCTGCTCATTAACGAAGTTTGCAATTTTTTTTTGCATCAAAATTATATATTCTTATTTATCTTACATTATGACACAGACTTAGGTGATTCATATTCCCAAGATTTTACCATGTTTCTTATTCTGAAGACACTGAGGAAACATTGCATTTATGTGCAAATTGACATTTAATTAATGTTTATTTTAACATCTCAACTACTTCTTTTTTTTCCGAAGTCACATTTACCACATCTCTTCTCTTGAAATACTAATTCATTTAGTATTATGTAGGAGAAAAAAAGTATTTCAATTTTTGACTAATTCAGAATTGTACATTTTAACTATCTTGTAAGTAAAAGGATCAAATGCTGTCATAATTTAACATGCAAAATGGATTGGATGAAATATTATATTATATTGTACATTTGTCATTCAGTAATTATTAAAGAAACTTCAACAATTGAAACAAAGTGTATTGGAAGATATATTCTTCTCATAAAGTTAATTGATTTTAACCCTGGATCATGTTTAAAATGAGATTTTGATCAAACACTAAAAGTTCATTACTCTTTGGCCCCCACAGTAAAGCACTTTCTCTTTTCCTTCAGATTTGTGGAGTTGGTCTTAAAAAATTACAATTTTCATAAAATGATGTGATTTCATAAAAGAAGACAAATGTTTGTAATTGCATCATACAGACAGGCACAATCGATTGAAAAACACTGAAGAATGTGAAGCATTATGAATACCCTCCAAATTAGATAGAATTACTATAAATTCATTTAAACAACATCAGAAGCCATAAATGTAAAAGCATCACTTCTTGGTCAAGCCTGTTGATGACTGGAAAAACTGGATCACTTTAGATGGGTTTGGTCTCCAACAGGTACCTCAAATGTAGGAGAGGCAGAGTTGTGTGTTCCATAGCTTCCCTCTCATAAACAGTTCATGTCAGTAGTGAGGAAGAGGCCAAGAGGCAAAGAAAATTGAAAATGGATGATAATAATAATAATAAACATTACAAATAAATAATTGAATGATCCACACTATTATGTTCCACACTAAATGTGGCCCCCTCATTAAGCTCCTTCAAAAAGACCTTTGATTGATTAATCAACAGGAAATGGACCTAATTCCCAAATTTAGACTAATTCCACTCCTGTTACACAGTCCTGATGTATGTGAAATAATTGTGATGATCTATTATGATTATTGGTGCAGATACAGTTTCTAAACTTTATGATGCTTGTAAATGGATTAATAAATAAATAAGAACAAAAAACAGCTTTTGTAAAATGCATAGTTTTAGTTGCTTTATAAAAATATTACCTTGAAAGAGGATATAAAGTTAAAATTTATTTTAGCATTTCTTTTGAAAAGAATGGACAAAAGTTTATTTCTTATGTTTCACCAGAGAATGTTTTCTCTTTTAGTTTCAATGAAATAGATGTAATTTCATTAAAAGAATAAGAATTGATATCCGATTGATGTAGTAATTCAGAAGAAAAAAACAGGGTAAAATGACCTACTGTTCTGAAGATAAATTTAGAAAGATATTGTATGCTAGCTACACAAATATAAGATGTGCATAAACTGCTGTATGAAATTTATTTGACTTTCTGAAATTAAGAAAATTTGCATTTACAGACACAAAAATATCACTATACACTGGACATAGAAGAGGTCATGCAAGAAAATGGGTTCCAAATGAACAAAATGATACTTGTGTCAATTTCATTCATTTGAACTCTACACTATTATTAAATGTGACACTTAATTTGAGCACAGAAATAATTATCACAATTTGTGTTTTTATGCATCCTGGTTTCTGCAGTAATATATAAATAATAACTTACATTTCTATCTATACATAATATTAAATCCAATGCTACTGTACACAACATATGCTGATCACATAACTAAAATATTTGTATCACTTTGTACCAAGTGATAATTAAATCTCTTTACACGTGACCCTGTCGTGAAGTCTGAGATTACACAAATTCTATCAAGCAATTGGTAAAATATTCACGTTGGTTGCTAGAAATACACATATTCTAAAACTAACTTTACACTTAATGATGCAGTATAAGTCTGTACAGAGACAAAGAAAAAAGTTTTTAATTTTTTAGAGAGACTTGATGTTCATTACACAACACAAATTAACATCAAAATATTCTAGTGGCACAATTTTGAATGAACTTCAATTAAATGGCTGTCTCTATACAAAACTGCAGTAAGATAGAAAATGAAGGATAATACTTCAAAACAGTGAACACACAATCAGTCCTATTTCACATCATTGTACATTGCCTAACTACAATGTCTCTAGTCTGCTTTTAAGTTAATACTTTACACATAAAGCTTTCAGTCTATTCTACAACATCGGCATGTATTGACTTCTTTCTTCTATGCTAACATTCAACTCTGATCCCAAGTTCCATTATCAGATTAGAAGATTTCTAAAGCTCTTGAGTGCTCTAGAATAATTTGTTCTTCCAATAGAGAGTCTTGTGTCAAGTGTAGAATCAAAGTGTTTAAATTCGATTTCCTTGTTTAATTGTTGTCTTACAATTATCTGAATTGTATTAGTACCTACTCCACATTTTTCACTATACTATACAAATATACATGAAACTCAAATGTAGAGAGGATCACACTAGACAGAAATTAAATTATGAAAATGCATACATGAAAATCATAATTGTACATTAGACAGGATTAAATAAACAATTCTTAGTTCAATTCGTTGATGATAACATTAGTTCACACATTCATTCCGTATTTTCACATCTCCTAAACAACACCCGATTCTAACTTCCATACCTACTTTATTGTACTGATCTCATTAAACAAAAACAATGACTCACCTAAGACATTTCATACAATAAATGAAATATCCAGATCTGTCAATAACAAATAGTTCTTTTGTCAGTTCTACTGCAGTCTGTTATCACAATGCAATATTGAAAAATGCTAGGTTCATTCATATAAGACTTAAAGACAAGCACATGATTGCACTAAAATACCTCTCTTGACTTAATCTCAAATTGAACTCTCCATAGCAGATCATTTAGTAAGCTGTCAGATGCTTACGTAAAACACTCATTCTCAAATCAAAAACACTGGTAATCTTGCTTCTAGATTTTGTGTGCATTGTGAATATTAACAATGCAAATTAAATATGCTGACACACAAATCATCTCTATTTTTAAAGCAAAATAAATTCATTGAAATTATTACATTTCATGTATTTTGAATATATGAAATGACATTAATACATGCAATAAATATACATGGCAAAAACAAGAAGCTACATAGTAGCATTAAGTGTCAAAGTATTGTAGTTTACAATTGAGGAATTTGTGGGAGTGGTAGCTGAATCTACTGTGAAAGACAGATGGGAGGAAATATCTTTCATTAGATATGATTCACTAATTACACTTGCTACGGAAGAAACACTGTTAGAATTTGATTTGGTCAACATAGTTGTCATGAGAGATACTTCACACATGTTATAAAAGATGAATGATAAATGTCGAAAGAAAAGGATTCTTTACAGCCCACTCAAGTTGCAGATTCAAGAGGGAGTTCGGAGTGACTTCGATGTCGAAGTCTTGGCGTTTCTCCCTTTCGACGACCTGCTGGCTCAGAAAACCTGTGCTGAGGTGGGGATTCAGAAACCGGAGAGCTGGTGGTGTTGTCACTGGTGGTAGTTCTGACGGTAGTTCTGGTAGAATTGCCGGAAGCGCCGTCTCCTTTGCCGTTGAATCTTACTCCAGTGTTTTTGCCAGGCTTTACGCCTTCGCCAGGGCCTGCAAGCACAATTATGTTTCCCATCATAAATGCATCATCATTTTTAAATACTTTTCACACATAACATCAGTTATTAAATATTAAATATCTTTGATAAAATTTTAAGAACCTATATATGATAATGCTCTTTTAACAAAAACCAAGAATCTTCTAGATGAGAAATTATTTGATTATTTCAATTAAAAATCTCCAGACCATTCTTAATCTTATAAGTCACATCACAGAAGTGTGCATCACATATGTATCAATAAAGACAAATAGAAAATGTTTAGTTTCTTGGATGGCTTGAGCAGATCAATATTCAATTTAAGACAGAAAGGAATGAAGCAGACAATTTTTTTAGCCCATATCCAGAACACATACAGATGAAGTAATAAAACATTTTAAATTGCAGAATATATAAGAAAACATATTTGAAAATAGGGAAACATAATCTACATTGATATACTACTAATGTGAAAAGCCCTAATCACTGGAAAAACAAAATAAAATATACAAATACAATTGAACTGTTCTGTATGGAAACAATATAGACTTTCTTAAAAGCAGCCATTAGGATTAGTGCAAATGAAGAGAGCAAGAAGTCATTAGAAATTCAAAAATATTAGATAAATGTCAGATACCTAGTTAGAATCAGATACAGTTGTGAATACAATAAACAAAAAGGATTGGAGAAAATTTGCAATTTGCCTTTGTCTTCCAGGGAGATGTAAAAATAAAATCTACAAATAAAACTATTTTGAATCGAATGAAGAGTCTTACAAATAATACAAGAATGGAAAAGGCTTTGTATTGGCTTTGTATTTTTGAATTGGATGGATTTATTGCCTTAGAAGATTTATTTAATGCATTTGGAGGGGAACAAGTAAATATATTATCTTTAAGAAAAGCTTTGAAATGGATGTTCATAAACGTCTCACCAGTTCCACACATCATTATACATAAATCAGTAACGTTCTGTATTCCAGCTCATTCCAGTCTGTATTTGATATTTTCATATTCCATCCTATTTTTTTTGTAGGTTAGGGAGCATTAATGGAGAACTGTGTTTGCATATGCTGTCTCATGCTCAAGTTACATAAGTTCTATTTCATCATTTTTGTTAAATTGGTGTACTCATGATCATCATGAACTGCAGGATGAAAGGCCAGGAGACCTGTTACTGGTTAAGCAATAGAATTAAATGTTCCAGTCTTCCTGCATGATCGACTTCTTTCTTGGTCTTCCTATATCACTCTGTTCAAGTGGTTTATATTTTAGGGCATGCCTTCTATTGTTATTTCTTCCACTGGTTGATTTTCCAGATCTGAGGTCATGTTTATGTTTGATATGTGGTTGTCTTTGTTCTACAATTTTGTATAATGTTTTATCCATTCTGTCTCTGGTATTAAATACATGTTTGCTTTGTACCTTGTTTCAGTCCCAAGCTTTTTTAGTATTTTAGACCCAACTTTTTGAGGTCCAGTGATGTATTTCCCTATGATTTTACAAATTTCTCAGAGTCTTCTCTTTTAATTCTTCTTTCTCTTTCCTTGTTTTTAAGGGATGTAGTTCACAGGATTAGTCAAAGTATAAATAATTAAACAATTAGTTTGCTGATGTTTTGGAATCTTTTAATTTCATCATTAGGGCTTTGGCCTACTAATAAATTTTAGTCACTCAGCAACATTTTAAAGTACCAAGCCAACTCCACACGGAGTTGCTGCAGTGTAAGGGTCCATTACATACCACATCTGAATCGGGCTAAGGCATTAAAGCAAATACACTTGGCAAACTAATGGTTTAATTGTTGATACTCCAACCAATCCCATGAACTACACCCCTCATTACAGCATGGTTGTGAATTCTACAATGGTTAATTTCCTTATTTTTGCTCTCTATTTTTTATATTACTACTAGTGGGCCCGGCACTACTTCGTTATTTCAATGTATTGCACTTTACACATTACTGGTCACGAGATTGTTAATCACGTTTTACACTCTGCTCCGCAAACATTTTAATAGATGAAAGACTTTCTCGCGAGTATGGGTTTGTTTTATCTCTTGGTTTGTACATGGTTGTCAAGAATCCTTTTGTTAAAACGTTCTCCTTCAAGTTTGGGCATGCATTCGCTAAGAGCCTGTCTTGGAGAAATTTGATTTACTTATCCAAGATAACGGTACAGTAATAATTTTGGCCGATATTTCATAATTGCAAAGGGCAGAATATGCAGCGAAGATGCACTTAATGTTTGAACAATAATAATAATATAATAATAATAATAATAATAATAATAATAATAATAATAATAATAATAAAATAATAATAATCAATATTAAATAATATTTATTATTATTATTTTATTGCTTACAAACTTACATAAAGCATCAAGCAAAGTCAGGCTAGAAATTAATTACAATTACAGTAAGTTAATTTCATTAACTTTCAGTAATAATAAGTTTATATTATCATTCTAAATTACATGATAAACATATACCTAATTGATTAATATAGGCAATTACATTAATTTAAGTTATAACGAAATACATTCGATTACATAACTTACAGTACTAATGCAAATTGTTTACTCAATGAATTAGATGAATAATAATGCAATTGCTCATAATAAACAATAAGGTAAATTATATTTTAAACTACACAAAGCCTCATTAACATATTACAAATAACATTAACAATAAACTAGTAGATTATGATAGTGGCAAATAGCTTACAATCAGAGTAAGTATTCCCTTATCTTACAGTAGCACTATAACTAACTTACAATAACTTTAATATATTAGGTGTATGATTAATGATAATAATTATATTTGTTACAATATCTTGACATATAATTACATTATTTACTACATTACTGAAAAGTACATTGCCTTATTGAACTGAATGAAAACTGGTATAAAGAGTTGTCACTCTTGTAGCATTACATTGTTTTTAATTACAGAAAGTTAAATAAATTCAGATATCTTGAAGTTGTGGAGGGTTGCACAGAGCTGTTCAGGGGCGCTTGAGTCATAAAACATAATCAACCACGCTCCCATTTTGCGTCTGTGTGACAGACATACGCACATTTTCATATCCTTATTGCAAATGTAAGCAATAAGTTGAAAAGGTTTTTTGCATGACAACAAACAGCGCATTATACGAACAAAGAAAGTTTTATATATTAGCAAATGTATACCTTGTTTTTCTGTGATTAGAAAAGATTTTTATAGGTCTTCTTCTTGTTTAAAATGATTTCTTGTGTTTCTTCAGGATCTTATCCACTTCCCCCTTTTTGGTCTTGTAACTCCTCAGCTTTACTTAGCCGATTACATTATTATATACTTGTTTCAGAGTTGTCCAGAATATTTCTATGATTTGTTTGTTTAATTGTTGCTGTTTATCCTCATGTCATTTTTCACATAAATATCTGCCACATTCCTTTTCTAATAGATATACCTTTAATTTGGGCCTCCTTAAGGCTTTCTTCTCTTTCTTCTTGAAATGTTGGGGATTGGTTTTAATTTTGCTCTCAAGGAGGCAATGATCAGTGCCTAATTCACTTCCTCTGAAACCTTGAGTGTCTTTTTCTTAAGTAAGTCTTCACTCACAATGACATAATCGATAATTTTGTTCCTCTTCCTTCCCTTGTAATTTTGTATTTATCTTTGTATTGGAAGGAGGAGTTAGTAATTTTCAGATTATTAAATGAATAGAAATCATTTGGAATTTTTCCATTGTTATTGATAACATCTTCTTCTTCTTCACTTCCTTTGATGCCATTTACTTCTCTGCCATTTCGTGTATTTAAGTTGCCAGCTATTATGATAGCTATGTTCTCACACTCACCTACTACAGTTTGCAATAAATGATAGAATTTTGTTGATTCTTCATCACTTCCTTCAACTGGTGCATATATTCCAATTAAGTTTAATTTAATTTTTATTACATTGAGTTTTCTAGTTATTATTCTTGGGGAAATAAATCCTTAATCTTCAATTTTATGTTTCCACAAACTCTTCATACTTACAGCCACATCAAACTGCTACTCTGTCTTCTTTCTTTTCTCCTGAGAATTTTAACTGGAGTTTCTTTAGCTCTTGTGTCCCATTTCTTTCTTTTTAGTTTCTGGCAGTATAGTTGTATCTAAATTTCTTTCTATTTCATATTCAGTTCTTTTGAATTTGCATTTCATTGATTTTTACACTTTGTTTTCTTTACATGGTTTCATTACTCTTTTTGTATTTGGTTGATCTCTAAAAACTATCATTTAAAAATACAACACTTCAGAATTCATCACTGAGAATTCTGAATTGAGGAAATCCAAAATAATTTTGGAAGAGTCATTGTTAAGCTGTCATTTAATTTAATTTTTAAACGAAAATACTATTTTTTTAGTGAGTACACTTATTTATAGAATACTTTACAAAGTGAATAAAGTTTAACATTTTTTCAATTTAAGTATTTATTATTGTTTTTAAGATAACACATAATAAGCCATTTTGTTTTTTATTTTAAGTACTACATTAATATAGAATTGAATGTAACAGAATTTGGTCATTATAATCCAATGATCCAGTTATTAAAATGTTATTGCTGACAATTCTTTTAGTACAATTATCACTAAGCCAGGCTTGCTTAGCAGGATTCAATTTTAAGCTTGCATTTAACATGCTTTGGCACAAACTCCATTTTAAAATTTAATAGAAATACCCAGGAAACAATTTTGATGAAGCACTTAGTTGAACTTAAGGACATAAAATTTTAAGACGAACTAAGGTATGTCTAAATTTCTCTGCAGTATGTAATGCATTAATTAATAATGGTTCTTTGAACTGACCTGTTTTCTAAATAAAAGCATTTTGTTTATGCTAAAGGGTCATGAAGTGAAACAATGGAAGTTGAAAATAACACATGTCATGCTGAACAGAAACCACAACCATCACACCAAGCACAAAACACACGCCGTTTGAGGGAGGGTGAAGGTAGCAGTTACTCACTTCGCAAGTTTCTTGCCATGCTTTCGCATATGAGGAGGCAGCACGTGGGCCTCCCCGACGATATGCATTGCTGGAGGACTGTAAAGACTTGCGCCTGCAAAGCCACGAAGCAAAGGATGGAAAAGGAATAATAGAAGGAAGGATGGCCAAGAACAGATAACAGATGGAAAGCACTGTGTTAATAATAATAATTGGATATAAAGCTCATATATATTAAAACAAGCTCATATTAATCGTTTTAAATTAACAAACACCACACAGTAATAAATGATATGTAGGATGCAGATAGCATTGCATGTCACCAACCACAAGCAGAACAATGAAGACAAACATAAAAAGGTATGTGAATTTCCATACAAGTAATTCCTGTGTAATTTAGAATATCAAAATATTTTCTTCAGTGGTTTATTGTTACATTGGTGGCTTAATATTATAAATTATTGTACATTTGTAATACAACAATTACCTAATTTATTTAAGACACATCACATCATTCTTCTCTCATCTCAGTCCTTTTAGAACCAGGATTATTCATGATTTGCTCAATCATAGTTACAATCACTCTTAGTAACCAACATATGCTACATTATTATTCTTCATAGTATCAACAAAATTTATAAAAATGTTTCCAAGATTAATATTCTCTAATGAATTCCACCCCGTTGTGCAATGAATATCATCAGATTAATACAAATAATTCAAGTTTGAGAAACATTTTATCAAATTTTCAAAATTCACAAATTTGAGCAAAAATGTCAGTTTTTAATTCAATAGTTTTAACACAAAATAACATTTTTTTTGTCAACTTCATTTTTAACCAAATTAAATTTTCTGCCAATATGCCCATTTCTGGCTGTTATTTTAAAATTATGACTCCAATCCATTACTGATTTACAGTCAGCATTAATTGTTCTTTGACGTTTTACCTGATATATCAGGTTCTTCAATCTCCCTTAACAAACAGCATCACAAAAACTTATTAATTCTGATTCAATAGATTGGTAATGCAACAGTTCTTTGTTCATTCCTTTTCCAATGAATTCAAGGATTACCAATTTTTATGGTTATCCTGCAAAAGACTTAGAGAAATCCTTTGATGTACACTGGCTTGCATCTATTTTAATCACAAGTGTTCCTAATTGTTCACCTATTTTTAATTTCATATTCTTCACACCTTCTAAATATCTCACAGTATTCCTTTTATACATTTGGCCAGGAGCTCGGTATCATTGGATCTTGGGGATCTCAGATTGTTATCCACCCAACCAAGAATCCATGATGGCAGATGCTGCTTCCTAGGCGTAAGTCTTAGGCCACATTCGTGGCTGTTCGTCAGCTGGCCGTTCCAGGCCAGCCATGTAGCCACTGACTCAGGCCGCGGAAGCTTGTGCTTTCAGGAACCCATGGGGTCTTGAGTTGCTTAACCTCCATGATTTCAGGAATTCAGTTAGCAATGTCTGCTTCATTGATTTCCATTGTTGTTATGTGTTCTCTTAATTTTTCAACAAATTCATTTATTGTTTCTTCATTATGTCCCACAATAATGCAGTTATAATTATAAAAGGCAATGATGAAAATATTATTGCCTTCCATATTTATAAATAAACATGGATCATCATGGTTGCTGACTGCAGGCTTTCTTTCTCTTTGATGATCTTCCATTTACTTCACAAGATTTATGTTCATTTTCATTCAACATCTCTTCTGGTCCATCAAATCTTAGGGGCATCATCAACCAGAGATCAACCCTTTTATATTATTTGTATTATGTGTTCTAACTCCATTTCTATCCAGCACTGTTTTTTAAGCCTTTTAATCCTTTTAAACTTAACTCAGCACAGACAATAAATTACCATTGAAATCCAGTCCATACAACACGCTTTCAATATTGATATTGTAATGGAATGGTTGCATATGCAACCGTCCCATTACAATGATCACACCTGAACATTCATTTCAATAAAAAATTCCTCTTACATTCCCTCTCAATTCAGAAAGTATTTGTCTTCCAAATTCTGCAGTTGATATTTCTAGACCTTTTGGCATCATCCATTTATTTCAGATGGGTCATTGTGTGTAGGCCAAATCATAAAATTCAGACCTTCTTTTTTCTCTTTCATAAGTTTTGAAATTTTCCACCACTTTCATTGCCTGTTCATGTCCAAATTTATTGTTACATAAATTCTTGTTCTAATTTTAAGCCTTCTGATTTATGTGAGTTTTCTTTAAGTACCTCAATCTTCTTGTTAATTTTTTCCCTTATTCTAACAATTCTTCGCTGACCAACTTTTCCACAATTATAATGACTAAATGTTTTCTTCTCTTTTACTTTGAAGGCTAATGGCTCTTGACTGAAATTAGTTTTTGTAAATATTCTTTCATACCTGAATAGACTCCCACATTACTTTGTTACTTGTACTTGGAAATGAGTAAATAGACATTCACATTGCAGTGTATTCTTTTGGTAATCCTTCCATTATAAAATGTATTAGTTCTTCCTGTTCTCTATCTAAACCAATTTCTTTAATTTCATTAAATATGCATTGAACTTTAATTTAATAATAATTCTCTTTCTAACTTCTCAACCTTCACTAATTTTATTTTTAAATGAGTTAGCCTTTGTCTCTACATGCCTTTATGATGCCATTTTAACACTTCCCATAACTTTCGTTATACCCTGACAAACTAAAGCTCATTCTGGTTATAAAGGTAGTATAATCATTTTATTGTGACAAGTCTTGCCATTTTTCATAACTAGTTTGCTTATCTTCTATAATTTTTAGCTGCTCATTAATAATATTTCATCATATAAATGTTTTCTTTTACAAGAGCTGACGATCTTAAATTCCAAAGTTCATAATTTTTTATGTTTAATTGCTCAATATTAAAAAAACAAAAAAGTCTCAATTATTCTTCTTCATATATTCTTTGAAACCACTCTCTGCTATCATACTGTTGTATTAGTAGTTTAATATTGTAAATTATTACTCTTTCATAATAGGACAATTATCCCATTTTATTATGACACATTATGTCATATATCTTACAGAATCAAAATTATTCATGAGTCTTCCATACAGTCACCCTTAGTAACAGACATATGCCATGTTATTGTTCTTAAGAGCATAAACAATATTTATACAAATTCTTTGAACAAATAATATTCTCCCACAAATATTCTGTCAAATTTTCATTATATTTATAAACTATTATCCTAGAGTATGAAAAATTCTTTTAGGTAATAAAAACTATTATGTATTTCTAAACCTGAATAGAAGATGATGTCCGCACTTAACATATTTTGGAAATTCCTTGTCAATTGCATGTAAATTCTAGTATTTATAAAGTAGTCATCATGAGCAGTTATGGAGATATAGGTGAGTTCTATCCTGTGTACTGTAGATCAGATGTTCCTGTAGTCTCCATCTTTTTCTTTGGCCTTTCCCAATATCTTATGGCTGTATGTTGGTATTTGCTTTTTGGTAATTTTGTTTGTCGTTTCTGCCCTTACTCAGTTTGAAAAGTTAAAATAAAGATTATTCTCTAATCAAGGATTTGAAAAGAACTGGAATTAAAAATGTTTTGATAAATATTTTTGAACTTCCAAACATTCTTTTAGAGTCATATTTCTAATCATGTAATCAGTAAGACTTTTTTTTATGTTGTTTTTTAACAACTGGGTCAAGTAGTGACCACTGTGATTGTTTTAACAGTGGGGGGAACTTTAGGAAGAACACATATGGACAACATGAACAATCCAGGTTCAGGGTGGTATTCGAAACTGCGAGCCTTTGAGCTGAGGCAGCTACAACCTTTCGGCCTTAGCAACCTCGGCTATCCAGGCCAGCAGAACAAGAATCTTTATCACATACAATATTTTCAAAATGAGAAAGAGACTTATCATCACAACTAATAGAAGTTGTTGGAAAACCAAAAGGCAAAATAGCAAATAACAATTAAAAAAGAATAAGCACCCAAGACATGTTAGTGCAATGAGATACTTTATTATTAATAACAAAAAATTCATACAAATGTTTTAAATCTGAACACGGATAAAAATGAGACTTTTGCCCTCATAATGTCTCACACAAAATGTTTTCTTTGCTTGTTACCATAAATCATTGTTTCATGAAAAATTTGTGGAAATCACAGATAAAACATATATGGAAATGAATGAAATTCGTCATAGCAAGTTGAGTAACGTATCATTTGTTATTAATAAAAGCAACCCAGTATGTTTCATTAAAAAAAAAAGTTCACATCGCTATAGAAATATTTTCTTACTGTGAGTAGCGAATTTCTTTTTCTTGGATCGATTGGAATGTTGGCCATATGCCAATGGGTCTGGCACTGATCGCTGAGCCTGGAGTTGGGCGATAGGTTGCTCTGGTGAATGTGCTGGAGTGGGAGCGGCACTTCCCACTGTGCATTGCCGGGTTCCTTTGCATGCTTTCAGTTGAATTAAAGTGTCATGCAAATATGATAATTCTTCTGGTGACAATGAATGCACTCTATTCCACTGTTCAAAAGGATCTGTCAAACAAAAAGCATGCAATTCATGTAATATACTCAATTTCATTATGAAGAATGATTTAATAATAAAGTATTATTTTGAAGATATAAAATCACAAGTTATGAAACATTCAACAATTCTTAATAAATTTAAGTACTATTTAAGCAAATATTGAATCTAGATGTTATTGACATTAAAACCTACATAAAACTTACCTATACGTAAATTATAAAAGGTTATTAGTCCTGTGACAAATTCACAATACAGAAAATTATGAGTAGCATTAATGGTCCTCAAACATGAATATGTGTTGTTATTTGCATTCATGCAGAAACAGAATGGTCCCTCTGAAAACAAACAAACAAAAAAATTAGAGATTTTGTCAAGTAGGTGCTATTAAATTAAAGGTCACTCTTATTATTTTATTATTGACTGTAATGTTTACTTATTTTCAAATCTGTAGTTTTTGTCAAAACTAACTTAGTTTTAGGTGGGAATATATTTTCATGCAATACAGATATTTATAATTTCAAAATAAGACATAGAAATCATATTTATCAGATGTCCATATGAACAGCCCACTACAAGAAATCCACATGTAACACATGTTAAACATATAACACATGGCACACATGTAAACCCACATGTACATTACAATATATTACCAGATGACACTATGCAATTAAAATCCATACAAAAGTTTAAATATCTAGTAAAATATATATTGGTAGTCAGTCTAATAAAAAACGATGAAGTCATTTTTTTTATTTGAAAATGTCCCAGGGGCTTTGTGTAAAATATCCACAAAATTAAGATATTCGTTTCAAACTCAAGGGGCAGCGACATCAGCCAGATTAATTGGGGAAGATCAGTTTTGGAGAAAATCGGCTGAACGTTTTGGCCGTTAGCTTTGTACGCAGACCGGAGGACGGACAGACGTTTTGTCGTCAATAGATTTTTTGGTATCAATGACCCACGAAACATGGATTTGAGCTAAACCACGTGTTCGAGGATTTTTTCTAAATTTAGCAATTTGATTTAGCCACTTTTCGTTAGCAGGGCCCTGTAAGAAGAGTTTTGCTGCCGAAAATTCGTCTTTTATTTCGCGCAACATCACACTAATTTCTCTCTACTCGGTAGTGAGAAAGTATAAAACCAGTGGGGATTTTGCAGGCATAGGAAGAAAGGAATGCTCTCCTCACATATTGTCTTCTTTTAAATTTAATTATTGAGTAACATTTTTTGCTTTAATGTATGAGAGAAAATGTTTAAATTTATAGTTTATAATTATCAGGCGTTTCTGATCGAGTTTAAACTGCGCGCATTTTTTATACCCCACGAAAACTCGAAATCGCTTTGAAGGAATTCTCAACGCTTACTTCTTCCATGCAGTAATTGTTAATATCACACATGACTACAGCCACCAGAAGAAGAAGAAGAAGAAGAAGAAGAAGAAGAAGAAGAAGAAGAAGAAGAAGAAGAAGAAGAAGAAGAAGATGATGATGATGATGATGATGATGATGATGATGATGATGATTACTTTCTCACCTTACGTCATAAGAAAAGAAAGTATTGTAATCGTGCGCCCGAAAAATACGAAATTTCGACAGAAAAACTCTTACCGGGTCTTAGAAATGCAGAAGTTGATAAACTAAAAAGAAAAAATCCTCAAACACGTGGTAATGCCACAATCCCTGTTTTGTTGGTTCTTCGTACCGAAAAACGAATTGACGGCTAAACGTCCGCCTGTCCGTCCATACGTTTGTCCGTCCGTCTGGTGTCTGTAAATACACTAGCGCCTAAACCATGCGTAGGATTTTTTCCAAATTGAAGAAACTCTTGTCCACCTAGCTCGAGTTGAAACTTTGAGATTTTGAAAAACATTTTTGAAAATTTGCGGGTACTTTACATAAAGCTCTCCGGACATTTTCAAAGTTTTCTCAAAAAACGGCTTCAAATTTTTTCTTTACATTTCTTGTAAAAATAGAGTAAAATATACTTATAAAGATGGCATAGGTCCAATTTTTAAGGTTAACTCTGAATTATCGAAAATTAAAAAAATATGTATTTTTTCGACGTCTTCCTACAACAACAATATTCAAGATAAATATTTTTCCTTCAAATAAAATTTCTTCTCAATAGTGAGTTCTTTCATTAAGGTCTTGAACATTTTTTTGATAATTTTAGAAATTTTCGCGCAATACAGCGAGCAATATGTGCAATTTAAAAAAAATACAAAAACAAGATTTTCTCAAAAATGTTCAAAAAAAGCTATAATGATATAATGCTTTGGAACATGAAATCAGTACTTCTGCCATTTCAAATACTTTAATAAATATGAGAAGCCCAAGTTTGGTGTGTCGATAAATATCCATGCACTTTTTTCCAACCTTGTTCTTTCATGTATATATTTCACATTTTCCACCTCTGCCCGTATTCTAAAATAAAATTTGCCATGACTAATGCCACGACCTTTGTAGTATCGTTAGGTTTTTGTCATCGTGTATACAAATGATAGATTTTTTTTATATTCCGGACACTTTAGAAAAGTTGATCGACGGAACATGCTTTGCTTTTGCACTGCATTGCTTCTGTACCGAAAGGGCGTCCACCTTAGTCACTACCTAAGTTTTGGGGCACCTGCAAAGGAGGAAAACGGCAGTTTCCCCACAACCTGATGCAATCAAGATTAACCTGATTAATTGAGCGCAAACAATTCTTCTGTTTTCCTTGCATTCTATTTTCAAATGCTGTACATTTCAAAATAGCTAAATTAATGTTTCGTGAAGATGAAGGGGAATGAACAAATTGCGAAATCATGTAATTTTATTTATCAAGGAATTGAAAACACCAAGATATTAGAGGCATCAGTAATTGGAAAAATCTAGGATTTGGAGCTATTCTGAAATTAGAACTATCTAAGAATTGGAGCTATTAAGGAATTGAAACTAACAAAGAATTAAAGCTATTAAGGAAACGGAGCTAATCCGTAATTGGAACTGTCAAAGAATTGACGCTATCTAGAAATTAGAGATGTCAAAGAATTGGAGTTATGAAGGAATTGAAACTTTCAAAAATTCGAAGATATCACGGAATTGAAGCTCTCAAGGAATTGGATCTATCACGGAATTGAAGCTAGTAAAGAATTGGAGGTATTAAGGAATAATAACTTGCAAGGTGTTGGAGTTATCAAGGAATCGGAGCAATAAAGAAATAGGAGACATCACGTAATTGGAGATATCACCGATTTAGAGATAATGGTATTGGAGATGACATGGAGCTGGAGATAACAAGGAATTGAAGGTAAGAAGAAATTGAAGATTACAGTTACAAAGAAAATTAATATATTGAGCAATTGTAAATATGTAGGAATTGGATATATAAAGAAATTAGAGATATGGGAGAATGGAAATTGGAGAACAGGAGGAATTCAAAGAAACGGTAATAATGGAGAAATGCTGTGCGTGTCTTACCGGTCCAGAAAGGCGCGGTCTTCCAGTGCGAGTTGTCGTGACTGAAGCAGTTCATGCGCTCGTACACGCACTGCTGCAGGCGGCGCCGCTTCTTCTCGCGGCGCAGTTGGCGCTCCTGCTTGAGGCGCTGCTTCTCGCGTCGCTCCAGCTCCTTCTGCTCGCGCCGCGACAGCCTGCGCACGCGCCACGTCACACTCCCTGCCCCTCCCCTTCCCACTCTACCGCATCACATTAACCTCCACCCACATCCAACACGACTTGCTCTAGGACAGCCACCGGTTCCCCCGCCGCCCCACCACCCTCACCTCCACGCTCCTCTTCTTCTACCACAGTCCCACCACCCTCACCATCACATCAACCTTCACCTCCATACAACTTGTCTTGCTCTAGGACACATCAACCTTCACCCCCATCCAACACGTCTTGCTCTAGGACAGCCACCCGTTCCCCCGCCGCCCCACCCCCCTCACCTCCACGCTCCTCTTCTTCTACCACAGTCTCACCACCCTCACCATCACATCAACCTTCACCTCCATCCAACTAGTCTTGCTCTAGGACACAACCTTCACCTCCATCCAACACGTTTTGCTCTAGGACACATCAACCTTCACCTCCATCCAACACGTCTTGCTCTAGGACACATCAACCTTCACCTCCATCCAACACGTCTTGCTCTAGGACAGCCACCCGTTCCCCCGCTCCACCATCCTCCTCCTCCTCTTCCTCTATCATTGCCCAACCACCCTCACCATCACATCAACCACCGACGACTCCTTTCTTCAATTTTTCCTCTACCACATCCACCCCATTCTTCCGCCTCAGTCCTCACCATCAGATCAACTACTCCCTCCTTCCTTCACTTCGTCCTCCGTCACATCCGTTACAGCTCCTTTTTAGTTTCCCTGTTCTTTGCCCTGCAACCCCTACCAGAAGTGAATCCCATCACATTCACCTCCTCTTCCTTTTCCTTCATTTCTCATCCGCTGCCACCTCCTCCACCCGCTTTATCACATTCATCCCTCCGCCCTGCAACTTCCACCAGCAGTTCTCCATCAAGTCACCATCACCACAGGTTTTTCCTTTTTCCTTCATTGCTTCTTCCTCTATCACGTCCCCTGCCGCCCCATCCATCCTCACCATCACATCCAACAATGCCGTCTGCTTCTCCCTATTCCTTATCTCCCTCGCCACTTCCATTCCTTTTATTCTTACCCACCCCCCCAATTCTCGATAGTATACTACTTCTTGTAGATGTACACCATTAATTCTACTTCTCTCTTTCTCTCTCTTTCGCTCTGTCACACTTTTTCTCTCTTTTACTCAGTTTCTTTGTTTCACAATTTTTCTCTTTCACCCTTTCTCCTTCTTTCACTCTTCCTCTCTCTTACTCTCTTTCACTCTCTCACTCACTCACTCTTTCTCTGTCTCAAGCTTTCTTTCTCTCTCTCGCTTTCTTTCGCTCTCTCACACTCTCTCTTTGTCTCTCGCTTTCTTTCTCTCTCTCACACTGTCTTTGTCTCTCGCTTTCCCTCTCTCTCCACATACAAACAGACACACCCACAGACACAGACAAAGGAGCGTGCTTCCTCAAAGCACTCCAGGAGGCGCGGCGCGGCTCGGCGGCGCGGTGTGGTGCGCGGTCTACTCACGGGTCGCAGTAGCACGCGTGCTGCTCGTGGTTCTGCGTGATGAAGAGCAGCGGCGCGCGGCCGGAGAGCAACGGGGGCGGCGCGGGCAGCGGCGCCGAGGGCGGCGAGGGCGCGGGCGTCGAGGCCGGCGGCGGCGGCGACAGCGGGGCGGCCGACGACGCGGGGCCCTTGGTGGGGCGCGCCGGCCGAAACACCGTCACGTCGATGCGGCCCTGCCGGACACACGCGCGCGTCACGACGAGGCATCTCGGGCGGTCGTGTCGTGCACGTTTTGTTTATGAGGTGGTGCGATTTCCCCCCTCCCGGATAGCGAGACCCGGCACCAACCTACACGTCGGCTTGCGGGGTTTTCTCCAACCAGGTAGCTCCCACCAGCGGGACACCGGCTGAGCCGTGACAGCCCAGCTCCAGACCGGACTTCCGACATGTGTACAAGAACTGGGGTGTGCTGAATGTGTACTGTGTAGGACATGAAAGTGTAAGTGAATGTTCGCAAGGGGTGAGGATAGGACAAGGAAGAGGAAGGAAAGATCGCGCGCAGTCCGTGGCCCGTTTGTTAGGGTACTGCTCCCGCGTTTTTACCTGGTGTTGATCAGAGATACCATAGAAAACTACCGATCAGAGCAGCCGGCCTCTACACCTACCCTCTAGGCAGCGGCTGAATTCGACCTAGCTCTCTAACAAGTGTCGAAAATCCAGCCAACTTTCGGAGTGGGCTCTCTGCCAGAGGCATTGCAGTGGCATCAATCGTTGCTCTGAGCCATCAAAGCCGGTCAGTGTTTGTGCTTGTGTTGCGAGGGGGGCGGGGCTCACCTGCTTGCCGGGCGGGCGCGGGTGGGCGTGGCCCGCGGGGGCGGGGGGCCGGCGGTGCTGCGGCCGGGGCTGACGGGGCGGCCGGCCGTGTAGTTGAGCCGGTCGTCTCAGTACTTCTCTCTCGAAGAGCCCCTCCGTCGAACCTTGGCGGGCGGCGGGGGGCGGGCGGCGGCGGCGCCGGCGGGGCAGCGGAGGTTGGCCGTCGGGTGGGGACGGGGCGGGGGCGGGGGCGGGGGCGGGAGGCCGGGCGGGCGGGGCGGCGGCCGGGGCGCGGGCGCGGCTTGCGGCGGGGGCGGCGCGCGGACGGCGGAGGCACGATGTCCGGGTCGGGCGCGCGCGGCCGCTCGCGGTCCGTCGTCAGCTCGTAGTCGTTGGTCTCCTCTTCGATGTTGCGGCCTGGCAGCGGCAGCGGCAGCGGCCCCGCCGTGGGCGGCCGGCGGCGGCGACCCGCTGCAACCACAACCACCAACCGCTCTGCGCACTGCCTCGCGAGCGCCGCGCCGCGCTGACGCCAGACGGGAAAACTTGCGAAGAGTACTTTCTGGGGCGGCAGCAGAGATATTGCGGTATTCCTTGATTTTAATTGAGGATGTGAGGAGGTTCAACCACAAAGTATATTAAAGTATAAAGTAAGCCCGTGTTTCGGGACTACTTTATCCTATCTTCTGTTACCACGTATCATGAATTAAACACGTAGGTCTTACGTCCAGGCCATCTTATACGGGTGATGTATGCAGGACATACAAGATAGCGCCGACGTTAGACGTATGTGCTTAATTCATTTAAAACCTATATTATAATATACTTTCTGGTTGATTCTTCCTCAATCCTGAATTAATAGCAAAAAATACTGTTCACCCGAGAATGTTCATAAAAACGAATGTCACAAATTCAATTCAATGATGTCTCATTTTACAAGGCGAGGCTCGGGCCATCACACATGATCTTCCAACTGATTCTTAATTCAAATTATTGACGTTTTCAGTTTACTAATGCCATGTTAAGATAACATTACAAGAGTTACTCGGAATTTCCAAACCAGTAATATATCATTTCACAAACTGCGCATTTACTCATTTTATAGTTATTAACGACATTAAGCCAATTCAGAGTAAATTATGAGGCAGTTGAAGTTTAAATTCGAGGCGACAGCTCAAGTTTACACCCAACCAAGTCCTTTATTTGCAATAACATACGTATGTCATTCAATACTTCTCGTAAAACCAACTACTTTTAAAAGAAGTTCCTGATATTGGCATCGGAGAACGCATACGTCATCTTTGGCTACACGTCAACATTGATTTTCATTCATCTTAATGCCGACATCCGTTTAAGGATGCCGGGTGTTAAGAGCGGCTTTTCGTCCATATGTTTGAATTGAATTATTGCCTTATTTTACGGGGCATGAGGCCTGCTCTTCCGTCCGACCACGCAAATTTCTCTACGCTCCTTTCTCCAACTAGCAGAGGAAGGAGGTATTTCTTGGGCGAGAAGCAGGCGATTTTTGAATTTAGCTCAGAGGCGTCATTTAGGCTTGAGGATCATTTACATGCAAGTAAATCTACTAACATGGGACAGCCGGCTTTACTTCCCCTCCGAAGGAAGGCGTACGAAGGATTTTTTCGCCCTTAAAAATCCACGGATTCGATCGGGTTTGAACCCGTCCGATACGCTAACCGTTAAACCATCGCTTCGCGCATGTTTGGTGTCGATATAACAATACGCAAATCCGAAAAAAGCAAACAATTGAACGGCGCAGTTGCGCTTGCGTACCCGCGACGGAGGGCCGTGTGGCGTTCTCGTGCCTCGGCCGGTCCTCGTCCTCCTCCCCGGCGCCGGCCGCCTCCGTCGTCTCGTCCTCCTCGTCGTCGTCCGCGTCCTCGCTGCCATCGTCGTCGTCCTCCTCGTCGTCGCTACCGTCGTCCTCCTCGTCCTCTTCGTCGTCCTCGTCTTCCTCGTCGTCCTCCTCCTCCAGGCTGGCGTCGTAGGACGCGTGGGCGGGTCGCGTCTCGTACAGGTGCTTGCGGATGCGCTGAGCAGCAGAGATCGTCATGTTACCAATCAACGATTGATTGATTGATTTGCTATTGATTTCGGAGTGCGTACACTTGTCCCGAAAGTGTAGTGTATGTTTTTTGGCTCTGGAGGTGGCAGTGATCTTGCCCCACTGGATGCTGATATGCAGGCAATGACATCAAAGGACAATCAATTAGGTGCATCACGGACAGGGGATTTGCCACGTAACGAAAAGAAGAATTGGAGAATGGCATCGTACACTGCAGCACCAATGCACAGAGGCCACTCTTGGTCTACAAGTGGAAGTTAGGTTCGAGTCCTGATTTAATGTTAAAGCAGGACAACTTTGTAATCTCCCAGCCGAATGCGCATGTGCGAGGAGGGGTGACTCCCTCCGCCAACCGCTACTTCCCCTGAAACACTCTCTCTCTTCCTCCCTCCCTCCCTTCCTCCCTCTGTCTCTCTCTCGCTCTCTCAATGCGCGCCAACCGTAGGGGGGTGGGGAGTCTAACTGCAAAGGCAGGCAGTTTCGCCTGCGCACAACGCACAGTAAAAGTGTCAGCTTTTCAAATCAAATCTACTTCAGCTGCCTATGCACAAACGCTCACTCTTAATATATTAAGGTTCTATAAAAGAAATATATGTATAGAAAGTATCGCCTCTGGTTCTCAGTCTTTGAGTGATGTGCAGTGTGGTGTCTGAGCGGAGGCCTGATTTCACACAAAGTTCACAGGGGTAATATTGTGCTTATTTGGTTCTGAATATTGCCCATATCGATGGAAGAAGTGTTGTGGACACGTGAAGAAAATCAAAAAAGAATGTATGAAAACAGAGATGTTCATGGACAATGATAGACACACAATTATTCTTTCTCTACGGAACAGTTCCTCTGAGGACGACAATGACGAAAGAGACAACAAAGATTTCAATGACATTGATGACTTATAGCTCCTTCTTGTTGGGGAAGGTTAACGAATCGCTCCTCTCAAAAGGGAGATTTTAAAGTTGTGCTACTGTAATGAAACAAGCAAGCTAAGCAAGTGAAATGAGCTAACGAATAAGTCTTATATACAATTTAAATTAATAGCTCAAACTTTGCATATTAAATTAATTCTAATATATCACCAGTGTTTGTATTATGTTTTTCAGTTCATCTGCACGTATTCCTAATCCATATCTCTAAGGTATAGTCACCAAATTTACTAGTAATTATCGGTTCAGCCCAGTGTGGCACGCGATAACGTAAGTAACAACATACGCGTTCGTGCGTGGCATGGTGTGTTAACCAACCCTAAGAGAGAGATGGCTTCAAACCTTCTCGCACGCCTGAAGATCCCTGCTCCTAGATTTTTTAAAAAAGCTCGCTTCACGATACCAAAATCTTGATAACCCGCTTACGGTTTCAATGCCTGCTACTGTGGAAGGATGGTAAGATTAGAGGTGAGGTGGGTAAATGTTAGATTTTTGGCGCCCATTCGTGGGGCAGCGATCCGATTTAAATCGAGCAAGCAAAGGAAGAAACCCTAGACACGAATAACGAGCATTTTAGTGGCAATATATTAGGCTTGTACTGTGTCTTTTCAGCCAGTGTTTTTCCTGTGTACAGTGAAGGGTTTTGTAGTGCATTGATTGTGATATTTTGGAAGGAAAGTGCATTCAGTAAAAGTACAAGGCAGACGCAAACGTTTAGTATGGCAGAGTATGCGGAATATAGGAACCCTGTCAGATCAGGAGTGGACGAGGAAGTGAGGTGGCGCGAGAGGGAACGAATGTACTTCGTAAGGATGGAAAATTTAGTTTGCACGAAGGGCAGAGGAAGTACGTGAGCCGACCGCGGATCGCACTGAATCAGCAGAGACTACGCCAGAAACACCATCGCAACACACAGAAGAAGATTCGTATGAGGAATTAACTGCATGGCGTTATTAGGGAATTTTTGTCGCGAACCCTCGCACAACAGTGAAATCAAGGGCAAAAATTAGTCACGCAGAAAATTAAAGAACAGTCGCGAAAATCGAAGGGCAAGGGCAAAAATTGCAGCAGAAATTAAAGAACAGTCCGCGAAAATCAAGGAGCAAAAGGCAACAAATTAGAGCAGAAATTAAAGAAACAGTCGGCGAAAAATCAGAGGAGCCAAGGTGCAAAAATTAAACAGCAGAAATTAAAGAACAGTCGCGAAAATCAGAGGAGCAAGGGCAAAAAATGCAGCAGAAACTAAAGAAACAGTGCAAAACTAGCAGCAGAAATTAAAGAACAATCGCGAAAATCAGAGGAGCAAGTGCAAAAATTAGCCGAAAAATTGACGACCAAGAACAAAGGTTTCAATGAAAAATTCGAAGGCAGTCTCCACAGTCTATGATGTCAGAAGTAGTTGTTAAATGCGACGAACTTCGGGGAGAGATCGCTGTGCAAAGTAGCAACAATGCACTCAGTTAATTGAGGAAAGGCATGCAAAGGTCGGGGGCGAGATTGATTCAATATCTACTGAGATCGAAAGAAGGATGAAGAGAATAGAGTAACGTTTTGGACAATACAAAATGAGTTAACAGGAAGTTCGCCGGCAGGTTACCGAAATCAGTGCAGACGCGAAGCGACACAGTCGAGGGCAAGTAATACAGAAACTAGAAGAACAAGAAGTTAAGATTCAGGAATTTGCGGAAATAGCAGAAACTAAAATAGAAGGCGCGGGAGCATGCCGAGAGGCAATATCATGTGCCGGCATCACTCAGGTTCTCAGCCATCCCAAATGAGAATCCGCCATGCGTTCATCTAAAGCATTTACAAACTTTTTTCGGTACCTCTCAATGTCCGCGAAGCATCACAAGACATTTTATTACATCCAGAGCTGACGTCTTGGATGAAAGAGTGTGGACAATATTAATGACAAAGGGCGGTGGTAGGGTATGAAACGATGTTGCGAGACAGTTGGTGCCCAAACTTATTACTGATCGTTTGATGAATTGTAGTTAGATTCTATACACGTATACTCGGGGAAGAGGTAACAGACAAACTGAATTTATTGAATTTCATTAATGGAACAGTGTATTACCGTACTTCTAAGCGGAACAATGCCGAGACCTACGCAGCACGAAAAACTCCGCAGATTGCTTTGAAAATGTGTGTCTCCTCCGTATCGATGAAGAAATAATTTGCATCTCACGAGGAGCATTTCCTCGTATAGCCATCTCAGAACTTGTTACGCGCGTAGATGTAACAGACGTAGAACATTCCAAGTTTTTATTAGGCAATACTACGATTTAGCGATTTGAAAAATATGAACCAACACGAAAGGCACACAAAATCAAATAAAATCCGCGATCAAGTAATGTCATAGAATCACGCGACCATTGTTCTCAAAGAGATAACGTCATATCAGAAAGGAGGGAACAAAAATCACGGAGGATTCAGATTACAACATAGGAGGACCGTGAGGGCAGGTGAACTTATACGTGAGAAACGGCACGGGCGGGAGACCGCGCAGTCAAGGAATCAACGACTGATCGGCTGGGGCGAACCGAGTAGTGGCAGGAAGTGAAACATTGTTTCACACGGCAGCAAGGTCCCACGGAGTCGACGCGAAATGAAAACGGCTAGAGTAGATAATCAGAAGACGATATGCGGACCGGTGAGGGCGAATGGGGAGAGCAACAGCGCAGCAGTTCGAGTTGTGAGAGGGAGGGTGTCGCACAATCGCAATCAGATTTAGAAGCAGCTTGAAGGGCGAGCAAACACGCGATCCCTGTACTGCAAACCGGCATTACGAATGATGAAAGGAATTTATGGGAAAATTGGACAGTCAAAGAAAGGGGAAGAAATGCCCCGTAATCGAAATTAGTTGGCCGCTGATGTGCATAGTAAGGGTTAGTAGACACCGGATCAATTAAAACGTGAATATCAGAAGAATTGTATGAAGAGCTCGTGAGAAAGAAAGTAAACGTTTTAGATTACCGACCAATTAATACTCGAATGGTAGATGCATGGGGGCGGAAATCTCATCCAGTGGAAGAAGCAAGTATTGGTAGAAGTAACAATTAAAGGAAAAGTGTTCGAATGTAATTTGTTTGGTTTAAAGAATTATTTAACCCGTTAATTATCGGAGTAAATTTTTTTGACGAACATGGCGCTGTTATTGATATAGGAGAGATCAAGTTTTGATCAACGGAGAAAATGTGTGGAGGAAGATGAGAGTGAAGAGGCGCAAATGCACACGGAGATGAGGGAGGACGATCGAAGAATCGCAGAAATCGAAATGTGTAAGCGTGGAAATGGAGAAAATGAAGTAGAGGAGGATAATGCCGGAGAAAATAATGGAGCAGGATAAATTGAAGGTGATCAGCAAAAAATGCGTTGTTTCCAAACTTGATAAGCGTCAAGGATGTATTAAAAGTCATAACGAACCGGTAAAAGGGTATGAATTTCGAATTGAGCTAACAGATTCACGACACATTTAAAGCCAAAAAATTATCCAATCCCGTGGCCCTACCGTGATGACGTGAGAAAATTGATAAACGAGATGATCAGAGGGAATTATTCGGAAACAACTACGGCGCACACACCAGACCAATTCTTTGTGGAAGGAAGGAAAGCAGAGCAGAAGAAGAAAGGAAAGTAGAAAAGAAAGGAAAGCAGACAGAAGAAAAGAAGCAGACGAAGAAAGAAAAGCAGAAGAAAGTAAGGAAAGACGGATGAAGGGAGGAAGATTGAGCCTAAGGAAAAGTAAGAGAGATGTAGAGGTGAAAACATTAAGTGTCAAATCTTGAAGATGAGGAACAAATTAAGAACATTTTAAACACGAACAAGATAAGCTCTCGTGATGTAGCTTAAATTGACAGGAGCATAATCCAGTAATGAGTGGAAAATAAATCTTAGAATTGCATAATTATTTGGCCTAAATTGTTTCAGTTTAAAATACGAAAAGCCGTATGAAATTCAGAGTATAATTCTGCCTAATGTTTGCCAAGACTCATTAATCAGAGTGGAGAAGTCGTCGTG